TTTGCCGCACGAAATAAGAGTATTGATCGGCGAGAGCTACCCTTCTTAAAAAGATTTTCATTTTATAACACAGATATAATTTTCTAATACAAGAAAAGCCGGTTGCATCGAACATGACATCCGGCAGTTGCATTTAGTTGTGGGGAGGAGTCGTGACAACCAAATGTAAAAACACAACACAAGTTGTATTCGTAAAGGACGGCTGAATGGGCTACGCGTTCGCAAAGAGTCCCTCAGCGCCACCGACGGCTACCTTGGCGCACGGCCTGCCGATCTCACTTCCCGCTCTGATACGACTACCTGTCCGCCCACCGCGAACTTTCATGTACACTAACGTGCCGTGCGTACTCCGCATTTGACCTCGTCGTCATTTGCGCCTCCTCCGAGAGTACTCTCTTCGCCGAGAGTACTCTCTTCGCCGAGAGTACTCTTTTCGCCGAGAGTACTCTTTTCGCCGAGAGTACTCTTTTCGCCGAGAGTACTCTCTTCGCCGTCGGTCGGGCTCCTTACTGGCATGCGGCCGGCGGCAGAAGTTCACGCCGGACACTCACAATACTCTTGGGGCCGGTCAGCCCCTCAGGAACTCGGTGCGCGGCAGTAAGCAGTAGACTTGACTCCACTCACTCCGCCGCAGCCAGGCCTAACACCGACTTATCTCCCAGGGGAGCATTCTTCCAGGGAAGCATTCGGCATCCTTCCCCAGAAGGGCTGTCCCGCTTGCCTGGGCGGACTTCAACCGCTACTGGCGCGTGGAGACTCCTCGCCGTCCCAACGTCCGTCGACTCGCATGGGCCTCTCTTCGGCCCGGCTCGCTTCGTTGCCTCCCACGGCATACTGCTGCTCGCGGCCCTCCTCCGTGAGGCTAGCTTCGGGTGGTATTGCTCCGTAACCTCAGACAGTCCAACAGTCCAACAGATCCATGCCGACACCGCCAGCTGGGTTGGATTCGGGTCTGCGGGCTGAATGGGCTACGCGTTCGCAAAGAGTCCCTCAGCTCCTGCCGGCAGGTCCAACGCAGAGACGAGGCGTCGCGTTTTGTGCTTGCTAAAGTTGCAGAATTACTTGAGGAAGACAAGATGACGAGATTGGCTGCTCTAGTTGTGATCGCTTCTGCGGACTTCATGGATGGCACGTGTGTGTCTGGGGTTGATCCAATGGGCTTGGAGCAGTCTTGTTTGGGTCGTTGCCACATTTACTACGATGGAGATTACGGTGCTTGCAACCATAAAGTGGAGACTTGGGAGATGGATGG